CCATTCCATTCCATTCCATTCCATTCCATTCCATTCCATTCCATTCCATTCCATTCCATTCCATTCTATTCTAGTCCATTCTAATGTTCTACTCTATCCTACTCTAGTCTTCCCTACTCTACTCGACTCCATTTCATGGACAAGGTCTTGCTGTGCAGCCAAAACTTACAGCCCTCTGTCAGTGGCTCCTAAATGCTGGGATTGCAGGGTGTGTAGCCCCATGTCAACTGCTTGTACTTGTTTTAAATAAAGTAACGCCCATATATTTTGTCCCTTTTTTTTTATTTTTACCCAGGAGTTATGGAATATTACTTCAGCTCTAGTGGAGTGTACATATCACTATAACTTTAGAAAGTTTCAAAATAAAGAAAACTACTAAAATTTCCCTTGTACCATTCAAACAATCAGAGTAATAAAACCTGTAACAGTCCACCAGTCCAGTGGTTCAGTGGGATAGGGATTTACAAATCTTGAGTGCATGGAAGAATAGACAAATTGGTGGACTGAAGGAGGAATAGAAGGGAAGAAGAGAATAAATGAAAGGAGTGAGTGAGGCAGAGAGAAATGAATAGATGAATGGCTGAAAGATGGATGGATAGATGAATGGATGATGGATAGACAGATAGATAGATGGGTGGATGAATGGATGAAAGACTTGTTGTTAAATGTTTTTGTACTTCCATCTTCAAAGACCTGGAAATAATTCTGCTATATTCCAGAAATTTACAGATAAAATTAAATCTAAGTGGAATCTCTTTGGTCAGAAAACATAAAGGAACCCCTGTGAGTTGTGGCAATTGTGTCTCCATTCATTGAAATAGTACATTATTGCAGCAATAAATTAACCTTTATCATTATTAATATTTTATTACTCACAGTGTCCAAGTACCTTGGGCTAGGTAAGTGTTCTGTTACTGAGCCACACTTACAGCCCAGAAGCCTCAAATGTAAATATTCAGAATGTATTCTGTCTTCAGTGAACCATTGTGATGGGGAGCATTTCTGTGACCATCTAATAAATTTACGTATGCAGAGGGTTTGGCATATACTAAGTACCATATAAATATCAAGTAAGTAAATAAATATCTGCTTTATGTTAATTACAGATTGAGGAGCAAATAACTTTGGAAAAACTGCATGAATGGACCAAACGTGAGAACTTGGAAAACATTGATGTCCATGTCAAATTGCCCCGGTTCAAGATAGAAGAGAGCTACATCCTCAACTCTAACCTGGGTCGACTGGGATTACATGATCTCTTTAGCAGAGGCAAGGCTGATCTGTCTGGCATGTCAGGATCCAGAGATCTTTTCATATCAAAAATTGTCCACAAGTCCTTTGTGGAAGTGAATGAGGAGGGAACAGAGGCAGCTGCTGCCACAGCAGGCATTGTTGCATTCTGTATGTTGATGCCTGAGGAAGAATTCACAGTGGACCATCCATTCATTTTCTTTATTCGGCACAACCCCACTGCTAATGTGCTCTTCCTTGGCAGGGTTTGTTCCCCATAGAAGAAGGCAACTTTAGAGATACAAGGCAGAGCTTAGAGTTTCATTCCCTGAGATTTTAATAGTGATTACTTTCATTTGTACTCGACAATAAAACCTCTACCAGAAACCAATCTTTCTTTCTTTTGTATGTTCAACCCTGTTGGCTTTTTAATTCATGTCTTTTGGCATGTGTATGCCTATTTTGATTATACAATGAAAAAAATCCAGTTGTCACTGTTGACAGCAACAAGTCTAAAACCAAAGGAATAAAATAGATGTATAGATTCTTGACCATGAGGTAACCTACAGAATCGATACACTCTCAAACAGGTAAAAGTAAGTTGTTTCTCAGTCTAATATTAGAGTAAGGCAAAAATGAAGAGATTAAAAACAACAAGTAATAAAGCATTAAAAAAATTAATGAATCCAAAATAACAATTGTATGTAAGTTCTTTCATGCTTTGTGACAAGAAACCATGCCCCCCCCCCTTTTTATGGAAAGAGATTGGGAGACACATCCGAAGGAAGGCATCCCAGGTTGTTGAGGGGAAGATTTAAAGGCAGATATGTCATGGGAACAAATACAACTGAAAGTCCCCTTCTTGTGAAGATATACCTTCTCCATGATTCTTCCCTGTAGGGTTAGTGTCCTCATTAATCAGTCTCTCTGGGTCTTTTGATAAAGCCTCTTGACCATCATTACTCAGGTAGCTATGGTGATAGGACGGCTTTGTATATGTGAAGGAAGTTGTGTTGGAGACTCTTGGGTTGGTATGACCCTTTGTCTGATGCACTCCTTTGAATGGGGTTTGAGATTCTATATTTTATCCTTCCAACATACTGGTGGATTTAACAAATCTAAGATTTCTTAGACTCTGCAAGTTAGATGATGCCCACCCTCTTGCTCCTGGGTCTTAGGCAAGCCAAGGTTACACTCCTAAGGGTGATTTGCCTGACAATATAGATGTGATAAGGACTCTTCAGGTTGAAAACAAAACTGTAGCCCATTACCAAGAAGCTTTTCTTCCTTTTCTCTCTATTCCCCCACTTGAATACCAGCACACATTGTACTCCAGGTTCTCCTATCTGTGGTAGAAAAGACAAATGCAGCAGGCATGGCCTCGGTAGCACTTCTTTTGAATGGCTTCCTTTAGTTTGGGTCTAGAATGTTCCCCAAAGGCCCATTTCTTAATAGGTTTGCCCCAATATAGTATTGCTGGGAGGTGATGAATCTTTTAAGAGGTGTGGAGGAGGTGGGGCTCAAGAAAAGCCATCAGATCATTGTGGGGTATGTCCCTCAAGTGGATGTCTGGCCCAGTCTCTTCTTTCTTCTGTTCTGTCTCCATGTGTGCTGTTTGGGTTACTGCCTGCTCCATGCCATTGCCATCTGGCTTTCCCACCCAGACCAAGTGACCATGGGCAGGAGTCTGAGACTGAGACAAAATCCACCTTTGCTCCTATAGGCTGGTTACCTAAGGTGCTTATCATGGCAATGAGAAGCTGACTTACACATTCCTCCAGCAAAACCCACTGTTTTTATTCTAAATGGTGTTCATTATCCAGAAACTAAATCTCAAGTGTCTAAGCAACTGTGTTCAAATCTTTTTTTATCTGTGAGGAAACTACAGATATGTTGCTAAAGGTCAGACATATTTTTAAATCACAGATCACAGACTAGATTTTAATTCAGATAGTTTGTAAATATATATATTTACGTGTGTGTGTGTGTGTGTGAATATGAAACTGCAAACTCAAGGACATATTTGGTCACTTGCCAGTCCAGAGGAAGTAATGATAGCTGAATGGCAGATTGTGTCACTATTAATGCAAAGGGAAACAGTTTGTCCTTCCAAGAGTAGGACTCCTGTTTTTCTCCTCTGCTTTTGCATGACCTCCAGAGTACATCAGAAGTTCAGAGCTAGGCTGAAACTTCAGGACAACTCTACTTTTTCATCCTTATTACTTTAGCAGGTAGATGGAAACTTACAAACTACACTGCATGTCTGGATGAAAAGGAACAAGAAACCCCAGAGCTTAAACATATAATAAATTATTTCCATAGAAGAGCTTAGATAACAAGAGAAAGAATTTGTATATTTTAAAGTCTTATGAAGAAATCCATTAAAATGTTTAAGTAATTAACTGATTTTAGTTTCTTCTAGAAAGTCAAATATAGTCAATAAACCCCAAAATCAAAACTAACTATAGGAAATGCAGAAGGAATGATAAACAACTCAAAAGAGTTAGGATGAAGCCAGCCAGGCTTAATCCCAGCAGTCAGGAGGCAAAGGCAGGCAGATCTCCAAGGTTGAAGGCAGCCTGGTCTACAAAGTCAGTTACAGGACTGCAAGGACTACACTCTATCTCAAAACGCCTCTCCAAAAAATGAGGTGTAAGATGCATTGGAGACACGGAGGGAGTAAAGTGCAGAATAATATATCAAGGGCAAACATTTGGCCAGGGAGATGGCTGAGTCATTGAAGTGCCTCCCCTGCAAACATGAAGACCTAAGTTTGGATCACCAGTACACACACACACATAATCCCTGTGTAGAAGGGTGCATTTGTAACTTCAGCACTGGATTGAGAGAGGACAGAGACAAGTGGATCCCTGGAGACAATTGGCTAGCCCTGCCAATCACTAAGATCCAAGTCAGTGCAGAAAGAGACAGTATTCAAAGCATATGGTGGAAAGTGATGATCTGTGGCCTCCAGTGCAAGTGTATGCATGTGTGTGCACACCCACATGCGCATATGCATACATGTGTAGACATATCCACACCCACCCTCACCAACACATTCATTTACCCCCATACACATACAGCAAAAGAAAAAAAGCTAACATTCAAAATGCTTATTTCAAACTAGATAAAAAGCATCAGTGCACACTCTAAACCCTAGCAGATGAAACAAAACAACTCTGGCCTAGAAAGAAAACAAAACAAAGTATACCCTAGAAAAACTGCAGAGTCTTAAGACAAAATTCATTAAAAAAAAAAAACCCAATAGAAGAGATCAGATGGAGCAGCCATATTAACAACACAGAGCCACACAGCTGTGACGACAGGCCACAGACAGCTCTTCCAGTTTGCTGGAAAACACAAACTCCAAACCCTACCAACTTCAACTTAGTTCATATTTGGGGAAAATATCCTTCAAGACACATTCAGATAAAAACTTAGAGCATTGATTTATGTAGACTTTGTCTTTAAACTATTCTGAAAAATCTTCTTTATGCACAGGAATGTTGGAATTGGAAATAAGAAATTAAAGAACAAGAATGTGCATTTGTGGTGAATTTAAGTGAATACTGACCATATAAGATAGTTGCAATAGTCTGTAAGTAGTTTGCAGTGTATACAGAACAATAAGAAAGAATTTAAAATAAATCATAATCCAGATTTAGAGCGTTTGACTATAGTTCTACATACTTAAGATGCTGATGCCAGGGCATGATTTGAGTTCATGTGTTCAAAGCTAACTGGCACAAGATCACACCATATTGAGACTTTAATTCTAAATAAATATAAATGCTGATTTAGAAGTCAGAGGACAGGGAATAGAGTTTAATAAACTATTGGTTTAGAGGAATAGCTCAGTCTCTAGTACTTACTTCACTCAGAGAAAAATTTCCAAGGTTCTTGCATTGTCTGGGAAGACAATCCATGGATTGGTGCTGAAATCTAAGGTCCAGAAGAACAGTAAAATGATTTGACAGCTTTTATATTAAACCAAAGAGAAACAAAGAACGTACAATCAATCCATAGGAGGGAAGAGATCAGATACAAGAAGCATGAGAAACAACAAAATGGGATGTGACATAGGTATTTAAGTAATTACTTGAAATGTAAACTAAGTGGTCTAGTTAAGAGACAACAGTGGTCAGTCTATGTTGAAAATGTGTAACATTTAAAGGAAACATATTTTGAAAGGAAAAAGATATCCTATACGTTTGAGTAGGAAGAGTGCCTCATACGCTCATGTGTTAAACACTTGGTCCTTAGCTGTTGACTCTATTTAGGGAAGTTCTGGAAACTTTAGATGGTGTGGCCAAGCTGGAGTAAACAGATCAATGGGTGTGGTTGTGGAGGCTGTTGTCTTATCAAGGTCCCTCTCTGTCTCTTTACTTTTTGTCTGTCCAGAAGTGAAGTGTCACCATGTACTACCCACCCCACAGCTATGATGTAGCGAAAGGCATCTGTGCTAGGTAACCAGGGAGTGAAACCCTTGAAGCCATCAGCACAATCCATCTTTCCACAATTATGCTGCCTCTTAGGTGTTTAACTGCCACAGTGAGAAAACTGACTGCTGGCCAGGACCCTGCCATCTTGTATTTTGGTTGAACTGTGTCAGTTCCAGTAACAATAGTCAATTGGTTTCCAGAATACAGTGAACTGGTTTCTCTAGGTTCTTGTCTCCCTGTCCCATGGGCCATAAGTACTGACTAACCAGAAAAGTGTATTATTCATTACTCAATACTCTCTCTTTATCCCCAACAAAGCTAATCTTGGGTTAAAAAGAGAAACACTTCAATCTATCCCTAACTCTTTCTCAAAAATGTACAAAGATCCTTACCCCTTTACACAGCTGCATCTGTCCTCAGTGTCCAGCCGTGCTGCTGTCTGTTTGTCCATCTATGATGTTAATACCTCCTCTAATCTTGAATGCAAAGAACAATCCGGCTTTGTGTCTCTTAATCTCCAAACAGAAAACATTTCATTGGATAACATACCATGCAAACATTAACCATAGAGGTAGATGTAGCTATATTAATACTAGGCAAAAATAACATTTCCGATCCTGGAAATAAACATTTTATGATAAAAAAAGATTCAGCACACTAGGAAAATGTAAAAATTTTAAATTTGGATGCACTCAATAGCATTCCCTCAAAATGAAAGAACAAAGATAGAAAGAAATTAAAAGAGAAAATATCCATATAAAATGAGAAAAGAATGCATGCTCTCCATAATTAATAATTGTAATTAACAACTGATAAACAATAATCTAGTATGCTAATAAACAGTCTAGCTATAATTGAAAAATATAGAACTATTCTGCAAAGGATGGAGAAACTTTATAATGTTCTAGATTATTTGTTATAAAATTTAAATTATTATTATTGAAGGGAGTTAAGTAAGATAGTTGGTTCAATTTACAAAACCACTTTTTATGTCCATGTAATCTTCACACTTGCAGTTTTAAAATTAACAGTAAATCAGAAAATACTCTAGTGCCCAATAATAAGACCAATAAAAGATCCTCAGGATCTTTCTGTATAGAAAGCTACAGACATCATTGAGAAAAAGATCTGAATAGAGAGGTATACTGTGGTCATGATTCAATGATTTGAAATCTGCAGTTGTGTGTGTGTATGTTTGCTTGTGATAATGTGTCCTTACCTCTTACCTCTGTGTGTGTGTGTGTGTGGGT